GCTACACTCTGGCAAGACAGAGGAGAGACACACACTGTAGCCTCTGTTTAATAAAACCCAGGAGGTAGGTGTGCTAGGAAGAAAACCAAACCAAAGAAAGGCGGTAGACTCAGATGCTGATGATTCAGCTATGGTGGGGCAGAGGTGGTAGGTGGTCAGAGAGGCTTCTCTCAAGAGGTGACAGGTAGGCAGAAGCTACAATGACAGAGAGAATAAGCCATATCCACATGTGGGGTGGTGCCAGTACTGACAAAGGAAACAAGTACAAAGGCCTTGAGGTAGGAATGTATGCAGTGTGTTTCTGGAACACCAAGGGAGTAGCCCGGCTACAGCAGAGGGATGGTAAAGGGGAGACTGGAGGAGTAACAGAGCCAGACCATGAGCACAGTCAGGCCATTGGGTTTTAGTTTGGGCTGCATAAAGGATAGGATAAACTCAAGTTGTTCAAAGACTCCCACTGCTCCATATGACCTGGCCCTGGGGCTCCAGCCATCTCTCTGTTCCTAGATCTGTTCCTCCCATCACAGGGCCTTTGTACATGCCCTCCATCTGGAATCCTGTCCCGTTCCTATCCTTTCATCCCCTAGTTAACTATCCACGCTTCACATCTCAGCCTGGCCAGGGCAGCAGTCCCTCGCTCCAGTGTAGACACAGAGTTCTAAGTATAGCCCTGGGAATTTGGCTATGGCTCCTTACCACCTCCTCCCACTGTGCCTCCTAGAAGCCCACACCCACCTGCCCTTGCTCCTTGCCATTCCCCAGGCCCTCTCTCACCCACAGCCCTCTGGGATCTCCTCAAGGGACAGGAAGATCATTGCCATTTGCAGTATACATATACAGCACCCAGAATAGAGCCCCAATCCAAATAGTTAGGTAGTGATTGCAGCATAACTAAACAATCCCCATTTTACAAGTAAGGGCCTGAGATTCCCAGGTGGGCTGAGAGGTTCCCAGTAAATGGAGAGCCTGGGGTAGGCAGGAAGCTTCAGTTCTCATCCCTCTTGGGGGCATCACCTGTCCACCTCCATGGAGCTCAGCAACAATGTGGCACCTGGTGGGTGCTCATAGATGCTTATCTTACAGCTTGTTCTAGAGATTCAAGTTTTGAAATTGGCTCCCACTTAAAAGGAAGAGGGAGATGGCTTGATAGAAAACACTTGAAGGGCTCCAGGAAGAAAATTGGAACCAATAAATTAGCTGCTGTGTATAAAGTAACTATGGGCAATGCAGGGTGTAGGAGAATTGAGAGAATTAAGGATGGGTTAAGATAAACCTGGGCAAATGAAAAATCACAGCAGTGGGCCTGCCTTGCAAGCACAAGGTCCTGAGTTTAATCCTCAGTACTGCCAAAAAAAGAAAGAAAAATCACAGCATAGTTAACTCCAGGAAAAACAGAGTTGTACAAGAAAGGAAATGCAACCAAAATACATGACATGGCTTAGTAGGAAACAGTATTTATAGTCATAATATAAATAACATTAAATATTCATTCAATGAAAAATCATGATACATGTAGATTAGAAGGAGGGGTGAGTAAAAACTCAATCTCCCTTTGTAATAATAAAAATGGTTGTGCGTTATGCTAAGTGCTTCACACTTTGAATTCTAACAATCCAATAACCTAAATATTCCCATAACTCATTTTATAAATGAGAAAACTGAGGCACAAGGAAGACTAAGTCACTTGCCCAAGTTCATAGGGCCAGAAAAGGAAGGGCTGAGATCCAAGTTCAGAGTTAGGCTGCAGAAGTGACTCTGTGAAGACATCAAACCGGAAAGTCAGTCAGTATTTGCCTAAACTTAATCAGCAGGAGGAAACGCTATTTAGAAATATGGAGGAAAGTACCAGAGTAAATATAGAACAGAAGGTGGTTGCCTTTGGCAACAGGACCGGGAGGGAAAATATGGGGCAAAGGAATGTTTTTATTAATGCTCTTTAATTTATATAAGTCTATACACAGATCTGCCAAGTGGAGGCTGGAACCGGCAAGGGAGGGAGAAAATGGAGCTTTCCACAGTGACAGTGATGTTTCATATCCTGATCGGGGTACAGTGTGCATTTGTCTGAAACCAGCAAGTGATACCTTTAATGCATTTCAGTGAATGCAGATTTTACCTTCAGGGAAAAAAAAAGCACAAATACTGAACTCCAGCTAATAATATGTATGTGGAAATGCCTTGAACAGAATAGCACACTGATGTTTGCAGCTTGCTTTGATAAAAATAAATAAGTTGCATTAGTGGATATATAAATGGGCAGAATCTTGATAGAGAAAATACAGCAAAATATTAACTGTGCATTATTAGGTGGGTGTTATGATTGCTCACAGTATAATTCTATCAAGTTTTCTTCATGTTTGAAATTTTCTTTAATAAAATTCTGGGAGAAATAGATGAAGGTATTACATGAGAAATAATATTCATTGTTAAGAACCTGGATGGGTTTTCTGTCTTGGGCCTGGATGAACCCACACCTTTAAGTCATCCCATGGAGGACAGCTGTTACCGTGCTTGTACCTGTGTCCCCGCCTAACCTTGGGACCCCAGAGCTCAGGGACCTATAGCCTAACTCCTTGTCCCATCAGCTCCTCTGTATACAGCATGTCAGAGAGGATGGAGGTGCCCTCACCCCATTCCCCAGAAATGCCTCAGTAGCACAAACAGAATCATTTATTCCACTTCTATCAAAAGGGCAAACTGAAGTCCAGTGGAGGAGGTCCTTTTCCAGGAGCCCATCACACCTCCATGGTACAAGTGAGCAGCCAGGTTGCCTGTCTCCAACTCCACATGTATATAATTAGCTGGTGGGAAATAGATCAAGGAGCAGATCTCATCTCTGCCTAATTAGGGACCAAGCAGCTGGGGCCAGGCTGGCCTGGGGGAACTGCTCCAAGGCCAGGAAGCCCCAGGAGACAGGGTAGCAGCTGCAGGCCTCGGAGGGTTGAAAAGCAGCAGCGGCTGCTCATAGGGGCTCACACTCCATCTGGAGGTGGAACAATAGAGGGGCTGTTTCTGCAGAGACCCCAGCCTGGTGGGGGAATGGGACAGCTCCCTTCCTGCTTCTTCCACAGATCCCTATATGGCAGGCTGGGAGGCTCTAGACCCTGGAAGAGGGCAGCCTTCCCAGGACCAAGCAGCACCTGTTGGAGAAATCAAGGCTCAGCCTGGTACTTCGGTCCCTTCCAAGAACCTTCCTGGCTGACCTGCCTATAGACTCTCCCAAAGTCCTTTTCAGCCAATCACCCAACCCCGGCCCCGCCCAGTACCTATAGTCTAAGGCAGTTCCTGAACACACTTGCTTCATACTGTAAGAGAGATGTGCTTGCTGCTTTGTCGCCTCTTCTCTCATCCCAGACCAAGGCAGTTACCTTGTCTTATCCACTGGTGGGCACCCAGAAAGTGCTCAATCCAATGGCCAGCAGGAAAGGCTTCCAGGATGCTGAAGAGAGGGGTACATATGCCAGACAACTGGGACTCCAGCATGTCACCGTCTTGAAGAAGGTCCACAGGCCAAGGGGTGGCCCCAGGCTGTCCTGCTGATGTGCTGTATGACAGCCCACAAGTCACCCCCACCCCAAGTTCAACCTCCAACTCTAAGACAATAGGCCTGACCCCTCAAAGGTCATCCTGAGGACTCAGTGAGAGGATAAGTTCAGTACTGACACCTCCTCTAGGATCAAGGGCTCACCCCCTTCACTGGTCCTGAGACCTCAATTTCAGTTTCTTCATATGCAAAAGGCAGCCAGCCCATCCCCCTTCTTGGGTGGTAGGGGGCTGCAGGTCACAGCAAAGGGAAAAGAAGCAGAGTCCAGCAGGGTTTCCCAGTGTGGGTGGCATTTGACACCTCCAGGGGCAGCACCTCTGCAGAGTAAGCCAGATTATTCCCCCAACCCCATCACTCCTTGACACAGGACCCTGAAGAACCAGCTCCCGTGCTGTCAACACTGAAGGACACCCATGGGCAGATCATGGCACTCCTTGTGGCTCAGTCTCCCCATCACAATGAGGGTTGAGCCCATTCTCATGAGCTCACCTTTACTACACAATTTCTCCTTCTCTCCCCAATCTTCCCAGGCCCCAGAGGGTTGGTTATGGACAGAGATAGATAGCTGGGCTGCCCTGGATGTTTGACAACAGCCAAGCAGAAATCTCCTCTTTATGTTTAAAATAAAACCTACACCAAACCTGTCACCAGACTCCCATTAGCACTTCCTGTTTCTGAGTGCTGCAGCCAAGGCAGCCTGCAAAGAGGAAATGCCTCCCAGCCCTCTCACTGCTACACTTGGGGAGCAGCTTGGCCACCCCAGGGTATCACCTTTTTTGTTCATCCTAGCTCTAGCTGCTCCACCAGTATAACTAACCTGGGATGAAACTAGAAGACCAGCCCTGTCCTGCCCCTTCCCAGGCCCTGAAATATAGCACGGAGGGCCTAGAGTGTCCCAACCCAAGGAGGATTGCCACCAACTCTCTAGAGGCCCAGGAGGAAGCCTGAATTCTCCAGGGTCTCCCAGAGTTAGAGACAAGGCCACCCATGCTATGCCATCCTCCCCAAGTCCGTCTTTATTCACAGCTCCCACTTGCTATCCCACTGTGGCCTAGGTGATCTCAAGTTCAGGGTTTGTCCTCTCTAAGCTTCCTGCCCACTTAGGAACTAGGCAGGGGTGAGGAAAGGTCGAACCTTCAAGGCTGGGGGCTGGTGGATCCATGCATCACTGACAGCCTTGCCACTGTATCCCCCCTTCCTGGTGCAGAGGAAGACCTCAGTCCTGGTCCCAGCTCTGTCCCTACTCCGTGTGGCTAGACTCAGTTTCCTCGTCTATGAAAGAGCCAGCCTCTCAGAAGAGTTAGGACCCCTGTCATGGGCAGATCTCAGGGCAGCAGCAGACCTCCTGCCCCACTAGATCTTGGGGTAAGCTATTATTCCATTCCAAAAGCCCCACCCTAATACTTTTCCCACCCTCCCTATTCCTTGTGAACATAGAAGAATCTGAAGGCCCAACTCTTGAGAAAGAAGCATTTGCATTTATTAACCCAGGGAGGAAGGGAAGAGGAGTGCATACTGCTAACCAGTCCCTCCCGTCCTCTACCCACCTAAGCCAGCTGCCAAAGATCAGGAGGAACTGTAGACAGGCCCCCCTCCCCTTGCCCCACCCCAGGGTGAGTTCCCAGGAAGCTGGGGCCAACCAAGTAAGCAAGAGGAGGTTGCCAAAAGACTGAGGCCAGGGAAGGAAGGAGGAAATGGAGCCACTGGGTAGACAGGCTTGGCAGGTCTCCAGGCCCCTCACTCTCGGTGGTGAGGGCTACACATCTCAAATCCAGCCTCACCAGAAGAGCCAAGCAGGGGTACACTCATGTCAGAAACCTTATATGTGGGGCAGAGGGGTCCAAGGTCAGGAGCAACCCTCCCCAGGCCTTGGTCCAGGTCTCAGCCTTTGCCTCTATACCAACTTCACACAGGGACCGTCTCTGGTCTATTCAGGCATGGAATGCTACAGGAGCAGTCAGGAGCCAGCTGCCTCTCCAAGATCTGTCCTGTGGTGAATTCCACATTGAACAGAGGCCTAGCCCTCAGCTGCAGGGGTCTCCCGTGCCTGCCGCAAGCCATACAGCCACTTGATCACACGGGCATTACGCTCCACCACGGACACACCATAGGGGACCCGCTCCTGAGCACGCTCCTCCACTGTAGCAGAGCTCCTGGCAGAGTAGCCCCCCTCAGAACTGCCAGGCTCAGCACTGGGCCCCGCCAGGGACACGATGTCCGAGCTGGCCCGAGCCAGGTGGGCCACCCCCAACCCCCGTGCCTCCTCTGGGTCCAGGCCACAGAAGTTAAAAAAGCACTCAAGGTCAGCTGCTACGCGGGAGAAGCGCTCGCTCAGGTCAGACTTAGAGCGCTTCAGACTCTGTGGCCAGACTGGGCTGGAGGCAACGGTTGTGCCTGGTGATGGGCAGGGCCCAGCCGGTGACACATGTGGAGGGCGGACGTCCACTCGGCGGACAGCAGTTGTACTGGACAGTGGGCGTGGAGGAGTGGCTGGGGGGTGCTGGGGGGTTCCCTCTGCTCGTCCAGGGGTACAGCTGGCCTCACCAGTGGACACCGGGCTATCACACAAGTTGATGAGGCTGCTAAGGATGTCCAGGTCTAACTGGGGCCGGCAGCCAGGACCAGGCAGGGCTCGGCGGCTGGGTGTGAGCACCGTTCTGCGAGTCCCTGGGCTGAAGAGTGGCTGTTTAGACAGCAGAGGCTGTACAGGTTCCTGGCGGGTGTTGGCCACGTGCAGACTCTTGACATACTTGGCCTTGTCTGCCTCCAGGCGCTCCACAGCACTGAGTTTCCGGGCTCCACCATCCACTGGCCTCCGTAGTAGGTAGCTGGGAAACTTGGTCCGCAGGCGGAAAGGAAGAACAGGAGTGGCTGGGGCTCCCGGGGTCAGCGTGTCCACCGGCATGGCTGCCACGTACCTCAAGGGCCTGGGTCTTGAAGAGACCATAGAAATAAGGAGATAGACATCCAGGCAGAGATGGCAGCTGGACCCGGCAACGGCTGCAACAAGGAAAAGAAAAGGAGCTGAAAACAGTCAGACAAAGGCTCAGCAGAGGCTGCAGGAGGCAGACTCCTGCCCAATTATAAGCTAAAGGCCACACCCCTGCCTCACAGGGAGCCAATCAGCAGGCAGGAAATCACTGCTGAGAGGCCATTCGCCCCACCCACACCACCTTTGGCCCTGCCCAGCTGAGCACACAGAAAGAAAAAGGGTGCTAGAGAAGAAAGACAAGGCCCAAGTTAAGGCAGCAAAGCAGGCTCCAGGCTCCATGCTGAGCACCAGGCAGCTGGGCCTTTGAGTCCTCTCAACAGCCCCACTGCGTGGATGAGGAAACTGACATTCAGGGAGGCAATCACCTTGCTTAAGCTAACCAAGCAGTTGACTCTACCCTTTGCCTCCCAGCAGAGGCATTGGGGTTGAATGACCAAAGGAAAGGGTTCCAGCCTCCCCACCCTGGACAGCCCCGGCGCCTGGTACCATCTCTGCCTCTCACCCATCAAGGCAGGAAGCTGCTCTCTATGCCATCCACCTGCCTGGACCTGCCAGGCCCCAGGCACAGGAGCAGAGTATGCAGGGGAAGAGCAGAAAATCCCCACTGCACCCCAGTGGAGTCCAGACACCCATCAGCTTCCAGTATGAGACTCAATTTCAGGCCCATGGTGGCCCACTGATGCCAGAGCTACACTGCTGCAAGGGAAGTAGAAATGCCCAATATCACACAGATCCCACAAAGAGGTCCAGACCTTGTTCTGCCAGCAGCTGTGGGACGGGCACTCACACACAGGAGGGCATGCCTGGGTACACACGTGTCCATATGGTCACCCAAGCACCAGGGCCTGAGGCCCCAGGCATTAAGTCAATTCTGTCACTGTGTAAGGCTTGCTGGAGGCACAAAGCACCACCATTCTTCCCTGTCCCCTAGGACCTTGGAGGTGATACAGAAGAAAATCCACACATCAAATCCAGAATTTTTCATCAATAAAATGGAGGGGACAGAGTACTTAGCCAAGGTGACCCAGAAAGACTTGCAGTTCAGGCCATCCAGTGCTGTCCAATTCAAAAATAACTAGCATTCTATGGCTATTTAACCTTATTTTACATTTAAATTAACTAAAAACTTCAGATTTGTTTCCCAAAGCACACTAGCCATATTTCAAGTTGTCAACAGCCATGAGTAGTCAGTGGTCATTGCAGTAGACAGCTCAGAATAAAGCATTCCTATCCATGGCACAGCGCTATACTGAACAGCCTCATAGGGACCTGAAAATCCAGGAAGGAGGGGGTCTGAATGGTAGGGGCTTTCTACTGTGTGCCAGATGCTTGACAGCACGCTCTCCTGAAACCTCCAACAAGCCTGTTGGCCACTGTCACCCTCTTCTGCAGATGGAAAAACTGAGACTCAGAAAAGTGACAATGCTAGGTCCCAGGGTAAATGAGTCAAATTCACATGAAACTGACCCTCAGAACACTAATGCCAATTGTTTCTCCCTGCAGCACTCCAGCACCTCCAACACATACACAATTTCTTTTTCCCTTATCGCCTTCACAAGCACCATATAATTCACTGTATCATGACTATGGTTGTTTTATGCTTTGTTGTCCTTCATGCCCTAAAATATCACTCCATGAAGGTGGAGGTTTTGTCCCTTTTGTTCACTGGATCTGCTTCATGAATCTGCTATCGACACAGAGTAGGTATGCAGCAAATAGTTATTGACATGAAATGTCTGTGGGACCCCAAAACGCACTGCCAGACTGTGATAAACAAGAAAGGGGCACCCAGCCCACAACAGGCAAGCGGCAAGTGGCCCAAGGGATAGGCGTTGTGTTCCAGGATGCTGGGATCCAGAAGTGCATGCAAACTCCAGGTTCTTAACTGTGAGCATATTTAGTAATCACATTTTTAAAAAATATTGCACACATTGACAAATAAAACAAGTCTGCTAACTTATCTGCCTCCTCCACCTGCTCTGCCAGCCCCCAGCTTTAGACCTGGCAGCAGTGTTGAACTGGGAAGAAAACTTTGGGGGCTGTTTGCCCAAAGTCAGTATGGGGCGGGGCATGGATTGGTAGGAAAGGGAGGCCCCCCTCAGGACAGACCCCAGGAACCTCAGTGGGAAGAGTCTGACCAGAAGAACTACTGTGCCCCATCCAGATAGCCCGAATCTTCCCCACCCCCACTCCACCCCCACACTGGCGGCTGCAGCCACCCAAACCAGTTCAACCCGTCAGGGAGGGCGTTTCCTTCCCAGGCTCCAAGAGGGAAAGAGTGGAAGGAAGGAGGTCAGAGGAGAAGCAATAGGGCATAAGTTTCTCGATGTGCTTCAATGCCCACCAATTTTAACGAGCCTGCTGGCCCAGGATCCCCTCTGGCAGGTAGAACAAATGGGAGTCACCAAGCCTGGCTCTGGGGCCACTGGCCCAGGGTCTCCAGCTCGCCCACCTGCCCCTACTACACCTTGCACAAGCCTCAAGCCACTGCCCCTTTCCTTATCTGCACAAGGCAGTTAAAAATAGAGCTCCCAACATCTTTGGGTCACAGTGTCAGTGAAAGATCAAACAGGGTTGAGAACCTGCCTTAGCCCTTGGTGAAAGGGTGGCTCCAGGCTCAGCTCTTTCTTTACAATAACTTTGACAACCCAGATCACAGCCTACCACCCTGCAAGGTCTCTAAGCAGCACCAGAAGGGTCTATCTGAGCCTGAGTCCTGACAGAGGCTGGAGTCCCAATATACAGGCTTTAGTCCAAAGGCCTGCAAGCCCCATGCCATGGGTGGACAAAGGCAGGGTGGCTCCCTGGAGGTGAGGCCATGTCCCAGGCACCAGGTGGGACTCCATATCCTCAGAGGCCTCCTCTCACTGTCCAACAGCCCAGCCACTGATTTTCAAACTCTGCCCACAAATGCCCCAAATGCACAAGCCCCATCCCTCCTCTGCATTCCTGGGGCACACGGTCCTGCCTCACCCACTCTGCATAGGCTCCACTGGCCTCAGCTTCAGGAGGGAGTGGGGAAAATTCAGATCCCCAGTTTAGCTTCTGTCCTCCCTCCCTTTGGGGGCAATCTTGGGGTCTCCTGGCAGCTAAGAAGGCCACAAGCAACACCTACAGGCCCTCAGCATGCTGTGCGACACCCACTGCCAGCTACCCCTCTCTAGGCAGGGCTAGCCTGACTGAAATGAGAGAGCTGAAGGCACGATCCCCAAGGTCCCATTAAAGTCCAAAGGCAAGCACCTGCCTAGTCCCCGGCATCCTGGGGGGCCAGGGCCCGGCTACCCATCTCCTCAGTCCAGGCCTCCATCTCTGCCCCCTCCCGAACGTACCTGGCTGCAACGCCCGCGCAGCTGCCCTATGCTCCCCAGGCCGGCCCACCTGGGGCTCGGGTAATCCGCCTTTGCGCAACTTCCGGTAGCAGCAGAGGGCAGGTGAATCGCCGCCCAGGTAATGTATTACCCGAAAAGGGGGAAGGAAAGCCAGAGAGGGGCCAGAGCCAATCCAGATCCCGGATGCCTTCTTCGCTGACAGCTGACAGTGCCAGAACCAGGTCCCATCCACTCCAGCTCACCCAGCGACTCTCATTCAGAAGACAGTCCGATCCCACAGCCCACAGCTCACTGGGGCAGGAAGTCCCCAGGGCAGGGGCAGGGACACGCATCCATCTTAGAGAAGAGAAAACTGAGCACATACACAATCTCAGGACCAGCACAGTAAAGTGCCCTTCCTGGTATTACTTCACCCATTTTAATCTTCCCCCAAGCCCCTGTGCGGTAAGCTATACTGTCATCCTGGCTTGACTAATGCAAACTAGGCAGGGACAGGCTGTCACTTGCCCAGAGTCACACGGGGGTCTAATCTGGCCACTTTCCCTCCAGACCAAGTCTTAATGCCACCCTTTTTGATCTACGAGTCCCCAAATAGGTTGCTGGCCCGCCGGTCTATGATGAGGGGTGCCTCCATCTTCTGGGACAGGCCAGTGTGTGACCTTGGGGGACTGAGGGTGCCCATACTTTGTGCAAACTGTAAATGCCAGCAGGGGTGGGTGCGACGGTCAGAACTAGAATTCTGAGTGCTGGGCACTGGGCTCATTTAAACCTCTGACCCCCTGGGAGGGAGGCCACTGTAACCCCATTTCCAGAGGAGAGTGCAGCCCTGCAGGAAGAAAGCTTGTCAGGGCAGTGACTGTCCCCTCTGCCACCCCAAGGCCTCTGCCACTCAGGTGGGCCATTTTCTCCTGGGAGCCTGAGGTCCAGGGAAGGAGATGTCCACCAGCCTCAGACCTGGGCAGCCAAAGAGGGTCTTGTTCCATTTCTGTGTCTGGTGGAGGGTGGGCCAGGCCTGGGGTGGAGGCAAGAGGGGCAGGAAGTGACTTGGAAATCTTTCCTTCTCCTTCTCCAAGCACTGAGGCCCCCTCTAGTCCTCAGTTTTAGGGAGGGGCAGACAAGACCATTATCCACCACCATGAGCTCCAGGCTCCCCACCTGACCCTCCACTGAGGCCATAATAGGGGGTGAGGCGGGGAGCCTCCTTCAGGCACTAATAGTAGTAACTGCAAAGCACTAGCCACCATTCCATAATAAAATAGGAAAGAACTAATCTCACTTGAATACTTTGTACCAGGCACTGTTCTAAGCTCTTGCTAACTCATTTCATTCTCACAGCTACTCTATGAGGTATGTACTACTGTTATGCCCATTTTGCAGATGAAAAAATTGAGACACAGAGAGGTAAGACCACCTGCCTGAGATCACACAGCTGGTAAATGGCAGACCCAGAATTTGAACCTAGGCTTGGGTCTGAGGAGGAAAGGTAAAAGAGAGTCTCCAGTGTTGTTAGGCTTTAGTCACTCACCAGTTATGTCCCCAGTGGAACTTCTAAAGAATTTGAAGCCTCCTTTTTTGGGGCCCCAAAAGAGGAACAACCTTCAGAGGCACTCACTGGCTACAGTTTGGGGTCTCAGTTTTGTTAGCTGTAAAATGGGGATAATAATGGTAATATTTTCCCAACTAGATCCCATTGCAATTATGTTTAGCCTTAGGCTCCCTTAGAATAAGATCCAGCCTCCTCATGTGGCCCTCAGGTCCTCCAAGACCAAGTCCTTGCCCACCTCTCCCACCTCTTTACTGCTCCAGCCATGAAGCTCTCTTGCTGGTCCGGAATAGGCCAAGAGCGGTCCTGCCCAGGGTTTTTGCACAAGCTGTTCTCTCCCTGACCTCTTCCCTCCAGGCCTTCAGATTTTCCTTCAAATGCCATCTCCTCCAAGAGGCCTCCCTGACTACTCACCCTCTCACACCGTTTGATCCCTCTGGAGTATTAGCTGCATAGGGCCATTTAAGAGATTTAATGATCTATCACTTGTTTCCTGTCCTCCCACTGGCCTCCACCACACCCCTCCATACACTCTCCCTCAGGTAACAAACTCGAGAAGAAATGTCACTGACAAAGTGGCTGGCACTAAGTCACCCATCAGGATGTATACATTGAATACATATAGCTTGTCTGTATGTCAATCATACTTCAATTTTAAAACAGAAAGGGGAAAAGACATTAAACATAGGTGTTGTGAACAACACACAAGTGCTGTTGTGGCCTTAGCGAAGCCAACCAGAAATGGCAGACAACAGTCTGGCCTGATCTTAGCAATCAGCTGATTCACTAGTGAAGGGAGCACCTGCCACATTCCCCTCTGCACAATTAGTTATCACCTTCCCTTTGTAAGTAATAATCATCTTTGAGGAAGTGGGAATAAGACCAGGGTCCCTGGGCACCAACCCCCACCTTGCTGCTGGTCTTCCCAGACCTGTCTCAATCCTGTTCCAGCCTGGAACATGTGGAACTCTGCTTCCATGCCCTTCCTACTGCACCCCCAGCCTCCTTTGCTGGGTGCAGCATGGGCTCCAGAACCAGCCTGCTGGGGCTCAAATCTCAGCTCCACCAGGGATTAGCTATAAGACGTTTGGCAGGAAATACAACTTCTCCATGCTTCAGTTTCCCCTGCTATAAAACAGGACCAATAACAATGCCTCCCTCCCAATTCACAGCAGCATTAGTCAAAACGGCCGAAAGGCAAAAGCAATCCAAGTCTCCATCAGTGAATGCAAGGCAAACAAAAGGTGGTCTGGATACATGTAAAATAGACTAGCATTCAGTCTTAAAAAGGGAGGAAATTCTGACACATGCTATGACATGGTTAAGCCTAAATACATTATACTGAGTGAAATAAGTGAGACACAAGGCAAATACTGTATGCTTCTGTTTATGTAAGTATCTAGGTACCATTCTAGAATGCCCTAGAGTGCCTTAGAATGGTCACAATCACAGACACAGAAAGTAGAATGGTGGTTGCCAGGGTCCTGGGGGGGTGGAAATGGGAAATTACTCTTTTGGGAATGGAGCTGCAGTTTGGAAAGATGAAAAAGTTCCTGAGACGGAGGTGGTGATGAGGGCAAAGCAATGTTAACATAGTTACACCACTTAAGTTCCATTTACAAGTGGTAAAGATGGCCAATTTAATTTATTTTATATGCATTCTCTCACACACACACACACACACACACACACACACACACACACACACACACACACACACACACCAGTGCAAAAGATGGAGCCAGATTCCCTGGATTCAAATTTTACCTCTGGGCAAGCTTTTAAACCTCTCTTGCAGTCCGTTTCCCCTCTGTCAGATGGAAATAACAGCCAGGAACAGGGGTGTCTGTAATCTCAGCTACTTGGGAAACTGAGGCAGAAGGAATACAAGTTCAAGGCCAGCCTGTGCAACTTAGCAAGATCCTATCTCAAAACTAAAACAAAAAAAAAAGGACTAGGGATGTAGCTCGGTGCTCCTTGGATTCAACCCCCAGTATCGCAAAATACTAAAAAAATTTTTAAAAAATTTAAAAAGATGGAAATAACATTCACAACTACCTTATATCAGAGAGTGCAGGGAATTAAAGGAGTGTATACTTGTAAAGCATTTAGCACACAGTAGGTCCTCAAGACATGTTGGTGACTTTTATCCTTTGTTTAGGGGGTAAGAGGTGTGGTTTTTGGTGTTAAATCATTTTTACAACACTGCACTAACCCCCTCCTCTTCTTTCCACTTGCTTCTCTCTTTCTTTTCAGCAGAAGCCGGAAGCCATCCCAGACTTGGTAGAGACAGGGAGGCCCTTGCTTGCCCCACAAGAGGATCATGAAGGCTCCAGGCAGTAGGGAGAGGGTCAGCCAGCAGGACAGCCCAGCTCAATTTCAGCCCAGCTGTCCTGGTCAGAGGCACCCTGCTGGGCAGCCCCCAGGGCCACGCCAGGTCCCAAGCTATTTCTGGAGTCTTCCCAAGGCTCATGCCCTGGCCTGCCCAGTAGTCAGCCTTGCCAGGGGCAGCCTTGCACAAACCTCAGGAAGGAAAGGATGAGCAGGCTTCAGGAGCAGTGTGGGTGTGGATGCCTGGGGCGTCGCACTCCTACCAGTCCCAGCCATATGCCCACCTCCACCAGCTCAACCTTCTGGCCCTTAGTTTGTACCTGGGGTGGCAAAATGGGGACAAAAGAGCTTTCAGTGGGGGCCAAATGACAGAGATGACACATTCAAGGCCTTTGGGACAGGCATAGCACTTGAGATAGACCCACAGCCAAGCCCACTTCCTGTCCTAGATTGCCCTCTGCCTGGGCCTGAGCTCACCATCATAGAGCTTCTATCTCAGCCCAGACATGCGAAGAAACTTGTCCAGAATCACACAGTGAGTTGGTGACAGATCACAAACAGGGCAGTGATCTCATGATTTCACATATATTTAATCATTAACTGTATAGGTTTTTCAATGAGATGATACATGCACATGACTCAAATACAAAACCCTTAAAGAGAATAAAGTAAAAAAACAAACAGAACAAAACTTCCCCATCAGCTGTCCTCCTTGCAGGCACCACTATGATCAGACAGCTGGGCCTCCTTCCAGAGAAAAGCAAACATGGACACAAGCTCTTCCTCTCCCTTTTATACATATAGCATTGCACCATGTGCACTGTTGTCACCTTGCATTTTTGCTGAATAATACATACTGCTCTTGGTGCTAATCATTCCCCTTCAGTTCCTACTGATGGCCACTTAGCATCGCTTCAGTTTCTGTCTGTTATGAATCCCACTGATTACCAATCCACCTACATAATTTCACCTAGAAGTGGAACAGCTTGCCTCCTGGAGCACTTGTAACTGTGACAGAGACAGACAGCCTGTGCTCGCTCCATGGAAACTGTCTGGGTTGACCTCCCATAAGTGGAGCACACAGCAAATTGTCAGCAGATGTTAGCTTTGGTTATCTTGATTACTGAGGTTTGACACCCTGGATTTCATGCTGGTGAGGAGCACCCAGCCCCAGCCTTGCGTCACATTCCAGTGGGGGAAGATAATACACTGCCTCACAAGTAAAATACATACAGCATTAGAAAACAAAACAGACATGGGGGAGGCCAGGGCATATGAAGTCAATAAATATGTTGAAAAAATGAATGAAAGACATTTTCTTTGAGTTCCCTGAGCTCCTCTTCCCAAAGCCAAGAGGTTGATCCAGAAGAGGATAAGTAATTCTCTTCTCAAGAGCTTCAAGACCCTCAAGTCCTATGATTCTGTGTCTAAGACATTAGGAGTGAAGCCAGAGAGACTGGGAGCCAACTGGCATTGCCAACTCTGCGGCTTTAGGCAACAGGCCCAAACTTCTTAGAACCTGAGTTTCTCCACCTACAAAAGGAGACCAACAATAACATTCTGGGCAGAGGGGCATCCCTGGGAGGCAGAATAACTGTGTAGTTTCATACTTGACCCTCCATTTGGGAGGGTCCTGGCCCCACTCCCAACTCCAAAGTCCCTTTGGCTTAGAGACTGCCCCTCCCCCAACCCGAAGTAGACACCTAAGAATACAGCAGCGACTCTGAAGGCCATAAAATCTGCTGCCACCTCCAATCTAGCCCAGAACTGTCAATCCCGTCTGATTTTCGAAGAGAGGTCCTCTGAGAGGGGCAGCCCTGGAATTCAGAACCCTGTAGGCAGAAGGGTTCCAGAGGAGCCCTGAAGATAACCCCTGCCTGTCTGGAGAATGGGAGACAGGTCCAGAATGAGTACCTTGAGAATGGTGCGGGCGTGGGGATAGGTGATCCAGCCAGGGATCCACCAGTCGGGTCCCGGAGATAGGGGACTGAGAAAGTGACCACCGGTTGCCTGTAGGGACTCCTCAAGGCAAATCTGTATGACCCCTCAACTAGAGGCCACAAGACAGAGCGGAAATACTAGAACTAGATTTTGTACCAGACCTCGCTGGGCGAGGACACTTGCCTCTGGGAGCCTGTGTCCCCACCGCCCGGCGGACACGCACAGCCGGCGCTAGGGGAACTGGATCCCCTCACACCCGAGCGGGCACCCGGTAACCCTGCGTGCTCACCTGGAGCCCGCCCTTGGCGTGTTCCGCTCCTCCCACGCGGGGACAGGAGAGGCTTGACAGTTCGGACCCAGACCTGGAGTGGCCTCTGCCGACGCGGCCCAGGAGGCCCCACCCGCGTGGGGACCCGCAGGGGTGTCTTTCGGGGCTCTCCTCTGCACGGTAGCTGAACCGGTGCCCCGGGCTGTCCCGCCGCCCCCACCGGAGCGAAAGTCTCCCGGGCTCAGAGGAAGGGGAAGTGAGCGCCCCTACCCCCATCACCGGAATGGTTCGCCCCGGACTTCCTGATTGGTTCCTCGCTTCCGTTCGAACACCGCGCCTCCAGGGTTGCCAGGCGACCGCTTAGTTTTGGCTGAGGAGGCCAAGGCTTTGGCCCAGCAGGCCCGCCCCCACTCGGCCCAGAGGTCTGCGCGTTCTTCTGCGCTCTGCTCTATCCTGGCGCCCACTTCTTTTCCTACTTCTCCTTTACCCTCTTCCAGCTGGGACTTTCTCTGGGTCCTCAGCTAGAAGAGTGCTAGTCAGGAGTCCCTGGCTAGTTCCTAATTCCAATTTTGAAGCTAGCTTGCTTTGTGACTTCCAGCAAGTCTCTTCCCTTCCCCCTTCCCCGTAACTCCCCCAAAATAAGCGAATTAGTGTTAAAATGTGCAGTCTCAGCAGTCACAAAGTTTACAAAGGGTATTGGCAAAAATTAACATTGCCCGGCGTTATTCATTGCAGCAAAATTACCAGAACAACTTCAATGCCCGTTGAAAATGGATTGATTTTATATGTCATCCTATGAAAGTGCTAAATTAACTGAGTTTTTTACATGACTTACTGCTTGTCAATGCTCATGACATAATCCTCTAAAATTTTTAATTATTGCCACTTTCTGATGAGGAATATTTCTAATGCAGCCATTAAAAATGATATATGTAAAGTATATTTAAAGATATAGAGAAGTGCTAAGGAGGCATTGCACTTTTAGGTGCATGTTTCAAAGCACTATGTACAGCATAAATATATATTAGATATATAACCATAATATCCTATGTCTATATGGATAATATATGTATTATGATATATATATTAATAATAGTCAATTTCTTCTTTGTACTTTTGTAGATTTTCCAAATTTTCAACACCTGAACATGTCAAGGAAAAAAATTTAAGAGGATAGAATAAATATACTATCAAGGCCCTTCCAGATGAGCACATTGTATAGTTGTCAATCACTGCTTAGGTCTGCATTGTTCAATCTGAAACCAGTTGTGTCTGTCTTTGGGTGCCAATGATTAAGTACTTACTGTGTCCATTACATGCAGAGGTGGCAGGCAGAGGTGGGGAGTAATTATCAATTGCTAACCATGTTGTGCAGCCCAGCATGGGTACCAACCAATTTAGAACAGATAGCTGGCGGAGGATTTAGCTCAGTGGTTCCGGCGCCTGCCTCACAAATGCAAGCTCCAGAGTTTGATCCCCGGTACCAAAAAACAAAAAACAGAACAGATAGCTGTCATAAACAGGGAATCTGGCTGTGTCTGTAAGGACTAGCTATGTATCAAACCTGGCACCAATGAAGTCCTCTGCTAGATGGTGCTCCAGGCTTATTTGCCCATTGTCTCACCCGACTTCATTGCTATCTGACGAGGGATATCATATTATTACTCCTATTTGATTTATGTGGGTACTAAAGTCCCCTGAACCACTCAGCTGCATTCCCTGTACACATGTGAGGACTGTTTGACAGTTGTAGTGAGGAAAGGCAAGGGAATGCTGTGGGCCTATAAGACACAAGAGAAAGCTAAGCAGGGAAGGTCCAATCTTTGTACTTCTTGATACTTGTACAACATAATGGGACTTCTTTAAGGAAAGAAATACAAAATCACAAGTAGAATTTAAGTAATACAGTGAAGATCTGGTTAGAAAAAGACAGGACAGCAAAAGGTACATGATCCCAATGATGAATATAACTGTATTGTATACCTAAAATGTACCAATAAACTTAATGGGGAAAAAAAGTACAGCAAACGAAATCACAAAGATTTCAAAAACCAGGAAATAACATGGTGTTTATTGATTACCTATTTATTAATTTCCTTTCCACAAAGCTAGTTTCCAGAACTAGCTTCTGGCCCCATGCATACAATTCAAACCTCCTCTCCACTACCGTGTATTTGGGGTCTGGGCACTATAAAACCATGTGTACATATTGAGGTGTGACCTCTGACCCTACTCCTCATGTTACCTGCCAAGTTGAATCAGCTCACTGTGTTCAGTAGGGTTTCCCTGAAGCTATTCCTATAGTAGGTGAATTAGTAATGGGATTACCCACAAAAGTGACTGAAAACAATATAAATATATTCCACTATGATGCCAAGGTCCTCTTAGCCAGATCCCAAAAATGCATCCAACTATCCCAACATCATCTGGCATTAAACGAAGTCAGAGTGGAAGAAGATGTTGGTTGTAATAGAGCGAGATTAAAATACCTTACTTTGGCAAATTTTATAGAATTTGCCTTGTGACTGCATCACAAGGGTGCCTCTCAGACCTCAGCCTGCCTGCATTAAACAGGAGTGACAACAGTGGTGTTGATCGGGTTCTTTCCTGAGAGGTATAATTTTAATCAGGGCCTGGGAGATATTTGAGATGTCTGGATAAAGGCCTTGCTGAACCATGCATCTTCAAAGTTGCCTCTGCCCTGCACATACTAGATCCTGAAGTAAACAAGACAAAAGGAAAACCCTGAGGCTCATTCCCAAATTGAGAATGTAGGGCAGACAGGGGGCAGAAGGAACAGTGCCAGGATGCCAGATTAGGCCACAGGAAAACAGATTGTTTGGGCACACTCAGATCTTAGAAACGCTGGGCATCTTCACGTGCCAACAGCGTATTAGGGATGTCCTTCCCCTGAGAATTTGTTACTAACACCTGCTGTTAATTCGGCAACTCAAGGGATCCCAGGCCTTCCCCTCATCCACCCTGGAGGGTGAGGAGGCAGAATCCGTAGAACAGGAAGGTGAACAAACTGTCATTAACTAGGCCTGGATCAGAGGGTGCTGGGTCCTTGTGACTTTATCCTGATCCAGCACATGAGTAACAACATCTCGCCTTGTTGATAGGCTTGTCGGTTTTGTCTCTTCCAGAACATGACCCTGGAAGTGTTTTCTCCACTCAGCTCGAAACCAAGATGAAATCAGTGTCAGATGTCAGCTGTCTGTCTCTCTGCACCGGGTCATTCTACTTAATTTGAAGCTTGTTTTCTCTGTATGTGTGAACTCACACCTGCTCGTCTCTGGGGAGACCCACCAGAAGCCCATCCCAACTGAGGCAGGGAGGAAAACTTCTTAGAAAATATGCTGTATATCATTTGAATTTAATGCCTCGAAAATGTATCATCTATTTTAAAAAACATAAGTAATGCTCTTCAGAATTTTCCATGAGAATAAGGCAGTGAAGTAAAAGAAAACTCAACCCAGATATATCCCTCTTCAGGCTGTACTGAGATGCTTAATTGAGATGTGCTTTCTGGAAGACAATATAGTTATATTTATTTTTTTACACAGAAACCAAACTGAAATGCTGTATCAATGGGCCTGTAATGTGAACAGCAACTGTTTTAAAAATTAACCTTGAGTAAATAATGAATATTCAAAAAGGTTTAACAAGAATAATATTTACTACAGCCCTGCTATTAATAGCAAAGAAGAGCTGGAAGTCATGGCTCAGACCTGTAATTCCAGCACTCGGGCAGCTGAGGCAAGGGAATCTGAGTTTGAGGCCAGTCTATGCTACCTACCAAGTTGAAGGCCAGCCTGCGGTATATGGTGAGACACTGTCTCAAAACGCAAAAATGAAGAAGTTGTTGTTGGAGTAGGGGTGCAACCCCAAGTTAACTCCCGGACCACAGAGCAATGGGAATGGTGAGGGACAGTGGAACTCTCTCTGTATCAATCATGAGGTTACACGTGAGGCTGGACAAGAGAGATTCACCAACATGGTGGTGAGGCGTTGGCACATCTTGGGCGCATGTGCATATAATGGTGGAGGGGAGGGTCTTGCTCATCTTATAAATCCCACTGGCAAGTCCCCAACCTCATCCCATCAACTCTAAAGGTGCCGCCTCCAAACAATGGCACCTTGGACATTAGGGCTTTGCCGTATGAATTTAGTGGGGACAGAAATGTTCAGATAGTAGCCCAGGATCATACAAAGCAGCTGTGGAGGATGCTGACTAGAGAACACACGTGCTCACATGCTACACCAGATGCCAGCACAGAGTAACAGGGGTTCCAACAAACAGCAGGCTGGGGCAAGGGACAGGCTGGCAGCTGAAGGATCAGGAGGGCGGCACAGGCCTGAGCACCACAGAGGAAGTGGCCCCAGGTGGTGCAGTCCTTTCTCCACTCCTAGGACCTACACAGCCCAGGAGCAGAGAGTGAGTTCTGACTCTAAAATTTCAGGATGTTCTAGTCCTGAATTCTTCAAATCCTTAAACTCCCCTCAGTCTAAAACCCTAGACTACCACCTTCAGCCCCTAGAATCATGGACAGTGAAAGCTGAACTGGTCCTAAAGGCCACCTGCCTTGCACAGGGAAATCAGAGGGGAGAAAGATGGAGGGTTTTGTGTTTATTTGGGAGTTTTGTTTTTGTTTTTTGAGACACTCTCACTACGTAGCCCAGCTGGCTTCAAACTCACCATCTGCCTGCCTCAGTCTCCTGAGTGCTGGGATTACAAGCGTGTGTCACCATGCCCAATAAAGAGTTGATTTATAAGTTATATGAAATCTTCATGAACTTAACTAGGCTAGTGACCGTCACTCTAGAGTCCACACTGTCTCCTCTTCAGTTTTCTTCCAGTATTTTTGGGTAACCTCAGAGGAGGGTTCAGTTTTTGTCCCTCTGAGTGATGCTCCTTATGCTTGCTAGCTGTGAGAAAGAGAAGAGGCTAAGCTGGAATTTTTGTTTGTTTTAATTTGTCTTTTTAAAGTGTCATATGCGAATAAAATTCACTAACTTTGAGAGTACACTTGAAAAGAAAAAAAAGACAAGAAAAAGAGTACACTTGGATAATTGTTGACAAATGCACACACTCTTTAACCACCCCAACAACCAAAAGCAATTCCCAGCACACAGAAAATCTCCCTTATGCCTGACATCAATCCACCCATGCCCACCTGTGTCCTTTCTCTAAAGTTTTGCCTTTTCTATATGGTCAGAGAA